TAGACGTCGATGAGCATCGGTAATCATCATTCTGACCATGCTTCTGCCATATCGTATCGCCATTTTCCAGGCTTCTGGGTGGTTGATTGGTGGTCGATGACTAACGCTAGACGGGAGGACGTTGTTCCGTAAGCACTCGTGTAGAAAATATAGCTGCTCGCGAGTTGAAGCTCGACGACAGGCGAAAGCTTCCCATCGACGAGCGGCTTTGAGCGTTGAACGCCCGAAAACAGATGACAGTTTTGTAAACAAAGGTGTTGATTGTTGTTTTTGTAGCTCGGGTAGTAAAACTTGGTGTTCAGTTGTTCGCCGAGCTTGGCAATTGTATTGCAAACGTTTCATCACCAATCGAGGTGACATTCTCAATGCAGTAACTGGGTGAGCGAACAAACAAATAACCCTACCGTATGTGAAGAACATCTCTGAAATGACCACGAGAATACGGATGCTGCACAACATTCAAGTCGCTCACAAACCAACGACGACCCTACGGAGAATCGCAAACCAAGAAGCAAAAAGAAGATCAAACTTTCAGCTTACCTGTATACTCACTTAGTAACACAATGCCGTCTGCATACTCCAGATGAGATAGTTTACCATCTGCTAGTGTGGGAATAACAGTTTTTGACTTATTCAGTTCTGCTCAGATCATCTTTGTCTCTATACAGTATCAACTTTCGACGCAGTTCTCAACGGAAAGCAACGTGGGGCTCTAATTCAACTAGTGTACTAACTCAGATCAACCACATAGCAGTAAGCTACCGTGGGTGTATCTCTGGAAGATTGCAGGTCCTATTGGACTACCCCCGTTGAATCTGATCACGCATTAGTTTTGATGCAGTTCACTCTTCAACTCATCGGCCAGCGACGAAACCAGCTACCTGGATAGCACGTCGTCGCCTGTCTATCTCAGCAGTTCATGCACTCTATGAGTCTTAGCTGGTGCGTGAGCTAAACGAGCCTCAACGTAATGATGTAGATGAGCAATGCGTTCCGCAGCAAATGTTGCTTGTGGGTCTGAGCCTCAATCCTGTTGGAGGCATTGAA